AATGAATTAAAGATAAAATGATATTCTACTATCATGGGCGGTTAGCCGCTAACCTAACTAGAGTTAAGAAATTAGACAGAGCAGTCAGGGGAGGATCTACATACAGTCCAGGGGGGCCACGGCCCCCCCAAAATTTGGGGGAAAAAATTAGGGTGCTCTAATCCTCAAGCCCCCTCAAAATTTTGGGGGGAAAAATTAGGGTGCTCTATTCCTAATTTGGGGAAAAAAATTAGTTTGTGAATATTAATTATTTGAGGGTTTTTATATATATATTAATAGTAAATATATTACCATGAGTGGAAACAAGATTAATAAAGGGGGTTTCATTGAAATTGGAAATTTATGGAGAGGTATTTAGCGAATGGGCAGAATGAGCTCGTGGTCATCAAGACATCACCATTGGGCATCATTATCGATTAGACTTTTTTTATGTCGCGATCGATTCACAAATGCAAGAAATTAATGTGCGTTTTAGTGAAGATGCGACAGAATTGCTCATGCTTAGTTCTGCCTTAAATCCTCAAAATGCATCTGAGGCTTTGAGAATACAAGATATATGCAAATTGGTTGGCAAGTTTTATGCACAAGATTTTACAAGTGAAGAAAAAGAGAGTTTGAAGATGCAACTGAAACATTATGAACATAATGTAGTCAAAGGGTCAGACTTTAAAACTCTTTCAACCATTTCTGAGTTGTGTCAATGGTTGGTAAAGTCGAATTCCTTTTAGTTAGAGAAATATTAGTTATAAAAAAATAGATGATGCTTATTTGACTATTTTCTATATAATATTTATCTTCCTCTTTTGAAATATTTTGGATATATTGATGTTGGCTATTCTACTCGTTTTATATGGGTTGTGGTATATCTCTTGTGAATAAAATTACATTAAGAAAATTTTTTATCTATCTTTTGTACGCGGCCCCCCCAGAACTAAAATCCTGGATCCGCCCCTGAGAGCAGTTAATAGAGTTTTGAAGTAGTTTTCATTGATTGAGGGACTAGATAGCATTTTCGATTAAATTAAGGGACTAATTTTAAAATATAAAGGTTTAACGGGCAAATATTAAAACAAACTCAAAAACGTCCTATAATAATTATGTAAAGACCAAAATGCCAACTAGCCATTTATGGTAAAAATCACCGATGCGTCACATACATCCATTTTCTCCAAAAAGGCTCTAGTTGCCTTGCCTAGCGTGATTTCTTGTGCTTCCTTGTCGTATTCGTCCGCTAATCCCTTGGGAGATTAGGATCCTAATTGGAATGCGATTAACTAAACTAATCTAAGAATGGTGCTTAATGATTTTTTAATAGACACTTGATGATTCTGACGTGTCATCCTTGCATCATCAACAAATCTTCACCTGATTGGATGGCGGCGAGAAATGGAAATGAAACCAAGTTTAAATCAACGCAAACAGTACATGAAATCATTGTGAACACTGGACACTAGACAGTGAATGTCGGTGTAAATAAAAAATAATAATGTTAGAGGCACACCACCCACCACAACTCCAACCACACTTCCCCCTCTTATTGCTACAGTAAACCGGGCTTCACATGAGATTTTAACCAGTTTACTGTAGCAATGAGAGGGAAGAGTGTGGTTGGGGTTGTGGTGGGTGGTGTGCCCATAACACCACTTAATAAAAAAATGAATCAGTATGAACAAATAGTAACCCGTGCAATTGATTGTGCTTTTATTTTCTCTCCATCAAATCAATTTCCTATAGAGAGAATATTTTATAGTATTTCTTTTACCATTTTATCAGTGTTGTGCTATCTATCTCAACTAGTTTCAACACCGTGCAGACATATTTTCCCCTGCTACAGTAATCTTTTTTTTTAGGTTTTTTTGAATTGCCGCAGTATCCTCCTGTGTTACAGTATTTTTAGAAAAACAACACAAATATTACTGTGATATTTACTATAATATAAATAGTGAATCCTGGATTCTCCGATTTGTATAGAGGAACAGATAAGATGAGAGCAGTAATTGAATGCAAAGTTACGATGAAAATTAAGCATAAAGTCCATTAGAACAGTCCGATAGTGAGCGGACTATTCTTAGCCACTCATGGGAGGATAAGAATATTAGTTTTGAAGAGTTTTCACTGTCCCGTGAATGCGTAAGAATCGCATGCAGGTTTGTATCAAAGATTGTTCTAATAACATTTACATTCTTTAATTAGTTGAATTCATGTGACATGGGAGTTGCATACTAAGAAAGTTGATAAAAAAGAGACCCATCAAAATCACATTCTCTGTCTAACCTTTCTTGGTCAAAAATGAAACAAAGATGAACACCACCACTGAGGTATTTGTCACGTCTCTTCTTTTTCTTCTAAAAAATAATTAAACAAAAGGCTCCTCTAAAAGAAAGCCAGGTGGTGGTGGTTTTTTTTTTCTTCTGCCGCTAGACTTTTAGTGGGTGTTTGGTTCAATAGTATGCAAGAATATGATTAGGAATCCTATATTTTTTATGGATTCCTAGCTAATCTATAAAAAAAATTTAAGACAATTTTATGTTGTCATAGAATCTTTTTTTTTCTTTCTATGTTTGTTTCATAACATGAAAAAACAGAATCCAACTTTATAGAAACACTCCAATTCATATTCTTTAGTTTGGTTTGAATGAGAATAGCATTTGGTCTCATAATAATATTGGGTTTGTGAAGAAACATAATCCGAAAAAAAAAGAGAGGGAGAATAGTACAAATACGTCAGCTTTCTGACCCAAATCCGCTCAAATCATTAGGATTTGAGTTTCTATAAAATCAGCATATTTTTTCAACTTTATAAATTCCGAAATCTATAAAATTTTGGGGAACCAAACTCAAGAATATGATTCATAAATAATCATTTATTTATCATTTTGCCATCGTCAGACCCAAATCCTATTCATTTTCCACAAAAATGGTTAAACAAACCGCCCATTAAATAGCATCTTGTTCAGAAGAAGAGAATCCTAATTAGATAAAATTAATAGAGGCTTAGTATTCTTTTATTAGATAGTTGCCATTATTAAAGGGAAACAAAAATAAAAGGTCAGGTCAATCTCAATGACCGGGGCCATTGAGCGACAAAGGAAACTTTGTCATCCTGCACCAGCGAACAAACTCACCTGATTGGTGGGGGCCACAATGCAGCTCATTTGTGTCGCGCGCCTTTGCGGAAGCCTTGCACGAACTCACAACGAACCTGTGATCACGAGTAGAAGAAAGCCAAACACTTGCACAAACCAAGCCAATTACGACAAATCAAACCAAACACAAGGATATACGTGGTTCGGCAATTGCCTACGTCCACGGGGAGAGGATGGGGAGATTTCACTATATGGAGGAGAAATACAACGGGTTACAACTCACAAAATCACTCAAATATAACCCTAACCAAAGCTCTCAACTCCCTCACAATATCTCCCTCTCAAAGTGCTCAAAACAATGCTAAATCTCTTCTTTTCTCTCCTTAAGAAACCCTAAAAAACGTGGTCCTATTTATAATAAAACACAATCCCAAACAAAGGAGGATTCCTCAACAAATAAGGATTCTAAAAACGAGTCTGCCACACCCTGCCCCATGGGTGTGGCAGAGGGTGTGGTGCAGGAGTGGTGCAGGACAGATTCTGCCACACCCTGCACCGTGGGTGTGGCAGAGGGTGTGGTGCAGGACAGACTCTACCACACCCATGGCAGACACCACACCAGGGTGTGGTGGAGCCTGTTTTGAGTTATTCTTCACGTTTTTCACAATTCCTTCGCCGTTTTCACAATTCTCCACCTCGGCGAAGTGTTCCCAACACTGAGCCGACACCAACATGAGCACCAATGTGTCGTCTCTCTAAACTCGGCTGCACCAATGCGGTTGCCTACGTACCCCCTCTCCCAAGGGATCAAGCCGCCCGTAGTTCATCCAAATGGCCGCCAACGGCCTCAACAATTACGAATGTGCAACAAGTTTCGACAATGATCAAACTTGTTGCTCGGAACCACCTTAGTGAGCATATCTGCCGGATTATCCTTCGTGTGGACTTTCACAATTTCCACATCGCCATCTTCAAGAACATCCCGAACGAAGTGATAACGAACGTCAATGTGCTTCGTCCTCGCATGAAAAACCTGATTCTTCGCCAAATATATAGCACTCATGCTATCGCAATGAATAGTGACGGATCGCTGCGATATACCAAGTTCTTCCAAAAGTCCTCGAAGCCAAATAGCCTCCTTCACAGCCTCCGTAACTGCCATATACTCTGCCTCCGTCGTAGACAAAGCCACCGTAGACTGTAAGGTGCATCTCCAACACACCGGCGCACGGGTCAAAGTGAACACATACCCCGTAGTAGACCGGCGCTTATCCAAATCCCCGGCATAATACGAATCAACATAACCAATGCATAACTACCCACCTGTAGTGTCC